CGCTTTGTAGACCAGGCTGGCCTCGAACTCACAGAGATCTGCCTGGCTCTGCCTCCCGAGTGCTGGGATTAAAGGCGTACACCACCACTGCCCGGCGCTTGTTGCCATTCTTGTTGGTTGTATTTCTATTTTGTTTATGTTAATACCTTTCCCCTCTCCTGGACAATACTTAATCAACATTCCTATTGTGTACAGTTTTATATTAGGTTAGAACTTTCTTATTTAGACAAAAGGGGGAGATGTATTAGATATCTGTTTTACCTATGACCTTGAGGTACAGTCCCTCAAGATATAACAGGTAACTGTTACCTATAACCTTGAAGTATCTGCCCTTAAGACCTGAGATGCACATATGGGGCTCTCTTCTCTCCCTCATGGGCTCGGATGGTGTGGACTGACTCAGGCAGCAGAACAGCATGGAACAGTACCTCAGCTTCCCAGAACCCTGTGACGATTCCCCTATTATGTTTAATGAGTTTTCTTTCCTAATGAATTCCTTTTAACCTTTAAGCAGACTCCCGTGGATTTCTAGCTTTACGAAACAAGAAAAAACAAATAACTAAAAAATATTCAATTGGAGAACCAAGAACTCCTTTAGGCAGGAACAATGATAGTGTAGCAATCTAAAATCAATCATGGTCAGTTTAAGAGGACACTAAATTTTACGCCTTCGGAACCCACCACCACCAAGTAAATCAATGTCTAACAGTAAAACCCACATGTATAACAGTCCTCAGCAAAAGTATGACCAAAAGCAAAGGTAGACTGTGGTGGTAAATGCATAACTCTATAAGCACACTAAGATTAGTTTTTGTTTTTATTTTGGGGGGGGGGTGCATTTTGAGACAGTGTTTCACTGAGTAGCCCTGGCTGTCCTAGAACTCTGTAACCAGGCTGGCCCATTAGCCATACTATTTAATGGTATACTTAAAAATTAAAAGCAATAAAAGATGCAGTTATTGGAAAGAATTCCACACATTAGGCTTATATCGAAAAAATAGAAGGATAAGGTGATAAGCTTTAAATAGCAAAGTGATTAAAGTTTAAGAAATTGCCGGGTGGTACTGCACACCTTTAATCCCAGCACTCGGGAAGCAGGGGTGGGTGGATCTCTGTGAGTTCAAGGCCAGCCTGGTCTACAAAGAGAGTTCCAGGACAGCCAGGGCTACAGAGAAACCGTGTCTCAAAAACCCCAAAAAATTCATTTGAGGAATTATTTCATCCCTACTGCTTCTAAAGGAATAGATTTCTTATGTAATTGACTGTGTGCCGCATGTACCCTTCCTGCCCACAGCTCTTCCCTTAATGTGGGAATGAAACTGTGCTCATGGGTACCAAAAATAGCCCTATCAAACTATGCTTCCTTTCTCACCTCCAAAATATTCTGACATGACCACAATTTAGAATAAAACATCCCAGATTTACAAGTCCAAAATAATTTCAAATATTCAGAGCCATAAAACCTTTATTAACTCCACTGGGCAGTGTAAAGGGTGGCATCTAAATCAAATCAGTACCTAGCAAATTACGTCCTTTGGTTTAAAGGTCCCCTAAGGGCCACAGCATGTTGTCTCAGCACAATGTTCCTATGGGCTCTGAGAAGCTAACAGAGAAACAGATTGGGCACTTGTAAGTATTTACGTGATTTTAAGTTCTAATTCTGTTTTGTCTCTTCTCACACATACCAGAAGTACTCCAAAACCAAAATATATAATTAACTGTGACCAGTCATAAAAAACAAAACCAAACCCAAATGTCATAAATGCAAGGACAAGAACTAGAAGGGTAGTACACACAGGTTGAAAAGGTTCAACTCTGATACGTACAAATAAGGAGAACCAGCGTCTTTGATTTCTGGTGAAGGTTTAAGAACAGCACAGGAAAGTAAGAGACCTTGAAGCTTGTGCCCATCTTAAAGAACTTATTTGGAGCCGGGCGGTGGTGGCGCACGCCTTTAATCCCAGCACTCGGGAGGCAGAGCCAGGCGGATCTCTGTGAGTTGGAGGCCAGTCTGGGCTACCAACTGAGTCCCAGGAAAGGCGCAAAGCTACACAGAGAAACCCTGTCTCGAAAAACAAAACAAACAACAACAACAAAAACAAAAAAGAACTTACTTGGAACTACTCATGCCTTTCTAACTTCCTTGTTTGGATAAGCACTCAACCTCTTATAAAAACTAAGCTCTGGAGTCTGGAGAGCTCAGTGCTCAGGAGCACTTGCTGCTCTTTGCAGAGGACCATGGATCCTCAGTACTCACACAGTAGCTCACCACCACTCTAACTCCAGCGCATCCAACGCCCTCTTCTGACCTCAGTGATGTGCATACATACATGGAGGCAAAACACGCATACACACAGAATAAAATAAATCTGAAAACAAAACAAATCCCTATGAAAATGAGCCCAGGCGTTCTGTATCTCTGAAGACACACTCAACACCATTTCTCTTTGGCTGAAGTCCTAAACACTTCCCCAAAGGCTACAATCCAATACAGCCACGCTCATGAACATGCTCCTACTGCTCCAGCTTTGGATCTTTCCATGTTCTCCTTCACTTCCTCAGATGAACTATTCAACAGTATTTACTCTATATACCATGTATGCCTGTGTAATAGACATGCATGTCCCGGCACAAAAGAACATTCTTTCCCACCCTTTCACCCCAGCACCCTCCTCCTCCTCATTAGAACCTGAGTGATCCTCCCACTCCTCTCTCTACCTCCCCCCCCCACGGTCATCGACCTGGATGTAAGTCACCAGTTGTCATAATTTTAGAGGAACCCCGTTATTGAATCACACCATGACCTAAGGGGAATCAGACCAAGGAAGTGAGGAAAGAGAGGTGCCTAGAGATGTACAAGGTGGAAATGTAATGTTTAATTTTTAACTCGGACACATATAACCCATAATTTTTGGACATTTCCAAAAATATTTTCTTAAAGAAATATTCAGAGTCTGATATACTTTCTGAACATGGTAATTGTGTGGTTGTTCTTGGTCTTCTAAGGTACATGTAGTAGAATATTTTAAGGTGTGTTACTTTTGTTTATGGTGCATTTGTTTAACTCTGAGGCTTACTGTGCCCCTGTAAAACACCCATGGTCTAATAAAGAACTGG